GTAACCCAATATCTACAATAATGCATCTGACAATATAGAAAAATATTTGAAAGTAGTACTTTTCTAAGGCTGGGTGGTTGCTTTAAATATAGATCAAGACTATAAAATGGCATTTCTTCTGTCTGACACTATTTTCCTTTTATTAACTTTAACAATCAAGACGTCCACTGCAATGACAGATCTACTTTAAGCTGTATGTGTATATAATATGGGTGTGCATTGTATCCACACACATACATATACAGTGTCAACTGCCAATGTAAGTACTGTCTATAAGTTTAATAATACTGCTAAGGAGCTAAATTCCAAACATAGTTCATATTTATAATTTATTGACTATAAATCTCCTTTATAATATATTTATTAAATTATTCTGAAGGTGAACACTTTTCATAGATAATGTATGTTCTGAAATTAAAATATTATAGACAAATAATTTGTTTGTATACAGGAGAACCATTCTGGATTTGATTTAATATTAATGAGATCCCTATCATTTGAAAAAATAACTCACTTCGAAATAATCCGGCATGTTAAATAAACTAAATTTATTGGAAAGAAAACTAATTTTAAAAAATGGATCCTAAAAATCTATTGAAGTACACAAAAATTTCCTAACATTTAAAAAATGCAATTTAACTCCGTTATCATATATATTAATACTGATTGTACTTTTAATTTTAGTACTAAATGTTGTTAACATTGCTTTTTCATGACACAGGGACACTTAATGGTGATATATATTTTTTATTCATTATACTAAATTATTGAAGGATTTTTCTTGGCAAGTATGATATTACCAATGTCACTTTATAATGGAGAAATCTCATTGGCAAAATGGCGACTTAATGTTTTGTGATTATCATACTGTTCTTTAAGATAGTTTGGTCGTTTGTATTAACATGGCGATTGCAGAGGCTAGTGAGTGTTCTGGAGGAAGGGCTTGAGCACAATGAACATTAAGCAGACTGAGTCCAGGATTTCAGAGTTTGTGCTACCAAATGATCTCTTCCTTGTACTACAAGACAACTTTATAAGTGCCATGGTTACACCACATTATTACTTATGTTTCTGAAACACGTCCATAGAGGTTTTTAGGAATGAAACACAGGCCATAAGAATAAATGGATTATAAAAGATGGCTGAGAGACACGAGATGTAAAAAGTCGACTTTCCTTTGTTATTTTTTAATTTGAGTGATTTTGAAACAACAGAATATGAAGAGGAGGATAAAGGAGAAAAATGAGAAAGTGGAAGAAGGGCCAACCGGGCTAAGTCCACTCCTCCTTCTGTCTGATGCTCAATTGGTCACTGCAGAACAGCAGGGGCTCCCCAGGCTGAGGCAGGGTGTGGATAATTTGACAAGACATAATATCTAGGGAGTCAACATGCAAAAAATGGGGAAACTTCAAGGCCTAGCTCTTGTGTTGGGCAAACTGTGATTGCAGCAGCTTTTGAAGTGAGAATTCTACTTTTGAAGCT